CACCCGACTTCAGTTCACTGATGTTTGGGGATGGGGTGGACCTGAGCTGCTGAGGTATCGGGAGTCTTTAGCTTGGATGGACTGTCAGGAAGTGACTTGAATCTGATTCAGAGTGGCCAAGTCGGGAGTATCAAGGCTTCAGGCTTGGGAAGGGGCTGGGCCGGATATGGGTCTGCATTTGCAATAGACTGCCTGGTTCTTACCTCTACTTTAAATGGCGACTGTTATCATCGCTCTTTCTACGCCCAAAACCCAAGATGGAACCTCGAGCTGTTTTAAGTATCCCGTCCTACTCGTCTTTTGGTTCTCCTTCTTTTCTCTCTTCCACCCGCAACAGAATCACACATCTCGATCACCGTCGCCAGTCTTTTTGGACATTAAACCATCCTTTCTGGGCAAGATCCCCTGCATCGTTTGAACACCAACCACAACATCATTCTCTCAAGCCGTCACCAAGATGGGTGATCAGAATCGCTTCCAAGGAAGAAGATGCGGGAGACGCTCCTCCATGTCTGAGTCGCAGATGAGTGATCAAAACCCCTCCCGACAAAGACACACCTCTGCTCCAGCTGCAGCTTCTCCGCGTGGAACAGCGGCAGAGTTGCATGTCCTTCGCGAGGCAATCCGCAGGGAAGCCCAAGCATCTGGAATGGGCCTCCAGCCAGCAGATGTGAGTGCATATGTACCAACTCATCGTCATCAGCGAGGTCAACCAGCAGCTGACAAATGCACAGCTCGAATCTCCGGATCTTCCTTCGTTCCTTAAATTGACAGAGACCGATGTTCAACACCAGGTTCAGACACTTGTCACGAGGGAGTCGGATATTCGCAGGCTTGCCGAGATGGGAAAGAACACTATCGAGCCAAAATCGACAGAAGTCACCGCCAAGTCAAGTCCAACTACAGGTTCCGTCGAATCAGCTGCATCACCGGCATCGGCCTGCAAATATTTCCTCCCACTCCCATTGAAGGGTCGTCAAGCTACCCCGTTCCCCCCAAACTCGGTGGCGTCAGGCTCGCTGGAATCAAGGATTATGAGTCCTGCGCCTTCGACTCCAAAAGCCATTCATCAGCAAAGGCCCATGAATCTTACAGTTCCCGCGACCGCTCCTATGACAGTGACCAGGGTCGAACGACCCTCGGGCGCCTTAGCTGAACGTCGCGGCCGTCAAGAGCAGCCCGAAAGATCGAACGTCATTGGAGGCCTGTTGCCCAGCCTGTTGCCCCAACCCGCTGATGCTCATACGCAGGCAGAAACTTCACAGCCCGTCGAGGAATCTCGCCGAGTTCGCTTTGCTGAGGTAGATCAGTCACAGGATAAGACTGTGGTACCGTCCTCGCTCTCAGTTCACGGAACCGAACAATCTCCCGCCGGTGTGAAAACACTCGCCACCGAGTCCGAGGGTGGACCAGTTCCTGTTCCTCCCAACGGTGATCCGCTTGGGCCGATTGCAACACCAGTTCTCAGTTCGATTAGTACAGAACCAATTCCGACTACACATTCTTCTGTACCAGTTTCGAGATTGCCCGGTTCGACATCCATGTCCCTAACTTCGAGCCATCTGAGCGCAGCTGCTACAGCTACTGCCGCGAGCTCAAGCAATCCGAAAATGCTCGTTACTGGACCCCCTCCAGGTCCTGGTCCCGCATTGGTCATTCGAGCTCCCGTTACCGGAGTCTCAGGTTCCCCTCTGATCGATGACACCGCACCATCTCGTGGAAGTGGGAGTGCATCATCTTCGCGTCCAAAGTTGAGAGCTTCTACCCGTTCTGAAGCGATTTCAAAGCTGCTGCCCAGTCCCTTGCCAATAATTCCATCACCATTAATCTCGGACTCCCTAAACGCAGTCATAAAGGTTACAAAGAGGTTTCGGGAAGTGACTCAAGCGCTTGGGTTCCGGGATGATGATGTCTTCAAGGTGTGGTGCAAGCGCTGCGTTGAATGGAGTTTTGATGAGTTTTACAAGCCTTATATGAAGGATTGGTCAAACTACGCGCAGCGTCTGAGTAAGGCAGAAGTGGACGAAGCAACCAACATTGGTTGTCGTGCGTTGATTGCTCTGATTAAAGAGGATCAGACTGGGTTTCTTGAAGGGAATTGTGAGTTTGACTTTCTTTCGCCAGGATATGACGCAGTGACTAATCAATATTTGTCCGTACAGTGAGTCGCCTTCAGCTTTTTGCGCGTTTCGCTATTGACGTGTTGCATGAAGACGATGACGTGCATGCTGAAATCCCTGGGGACAACAACTTTCTTTGTGAACACGCGTTGGGCAACACGCAAAAAGTCCGCGGACTAATCATGTTGGCGGACTTCTTGCTCGACTGCCGTTTCGTGGAGGCGACGACGAGACGTACGTACTTTGCGGCGTCAGCCAGGGCGAGTGCGCACAGAAACTCTAATGAGGATACTATTGAAGACGATGATGATGATCAGAAAGGCAAAGGCAAAGACGTGATGAGCCCGAGGAAGCACTTTGCGTCTGTGGCGAGGGAGAAGGCACAAGCCTCGTCGATGAATACATCCGGCGGAGAGAAGTGATTTGTGGTTATTTTCATGTTGGCTTTCATTCGTGTCCGATCTTTCTGCATGTATCTTTCAGCAGCGAAGGTTGCAGAGCAAGTGGCAGATGCAGATGCAGATGGTTGGGAGAGGATGATGGTTTTAACATACAGTGACGAGCGGGAGAAACTCGAGCGAAGTATAGTCATTTCTAGCATAGCTTAGAAAACCCGAGAAAAACTCTTGCGGTTTCCGAATGAGATGATGGTCGTTGATACAGTCCAATGCTGGTTTCTTTGTTAGCTCGAGACCTGTGGTAAACTTTCCTAGGCGTTTATACATCTAATTGATCCGTTTCGTTCCATAACCACCAAAGCGTGATCTTACCTTTCATATGCTATTTTGGAAATTTGATATGCCATATTGCCATATCCATCCGTGCTTAGCCATTCAATTTATCCTTGTAAGGTTTGGGACAATTCGGGATGGATATCGTCCAGTATACCAAGAGTACAAGCTAACAAACAAACCAGCATTGGACTATACATCGGCCGACATGATGCGATATGGATGTAACATGGCAGCGGGGGTTACACTCGGCTTCAGTCTCGCAGGTCGCTTCTCCAACATCCTCTTGATAGCCGTCATCCTTCCTTGACTGACATGGACAGTAATGCGGCGACTGGGAGTTGAAGTAACGCACTTTACCACTTCCTCTTGGTGCATGTTGCGAAATTCGGTCAATGAAGACGCAATTGAGGAGTCGGCAGATTCAAGATTTGATCAAGAGGTTCTCGATGGGAGCTCGCGTCTTGGTCCTGTGCCTCTCATTGGCCAACCTGGAGCATGCATGCCATACCGAGCCAATCTTGCAACATCATGATGCATAATGCCTGATTAATCATCAATGTCTTTGATCGCGATGCACAAGAGCGGCATGTCGACGGAAAGGTGGGAGGAGGGGAAAGTATAAGTACCAAGTTGGGGTGCGCCGTGGTCACTGTTCGGGTGTCCAACTTTCGTCTTTACTTGCAGTTCTTAACAATACGGTACCAAAAGCGACCGACATACAGCAAGTAACACGAGCAATCTCAATTACCGATTGAAACAACTTGGCATCATCATGTCTTCCACCATCAACACCGTTGCTGTCCTCGGTGTAAGTTCACCACCAGACCTCCAACTCCCCTTTTCTCAGTCTGGCACCCGCAAGACCACTCAGCGATCTAACAACACCCCTTCCTACTCCCCAAATAGGGTACAGGCAACCTAGGCACCCACATCGTCCGCGCCCTCCTAGTCGGCGGTTTCACCGTCACCATCCTCACCCGCCCCGGTTCCACCTCCCCACGTCCCTCCTTCTCCCCGTACACCGTCCCGTTCACCGAAGTCGACTATTCCTCCCCTTCCTCTTTGAGAGATGCTCTCCAAGGCCAAGACGCCGTGGTCTCGGTCCTGGCTACCACTGTGGTGCAAGAGCAAAAGAAGATTATCGACGCGGCCATCGAGGCCGGCGTGAAGAGATTCGTGCCGAGCGAGTTTGGGGTGAACACGCGCAAGGCGGGGATCGAAAGGACGAGGATTGGGGAGTTGTTGGCGGGGAAGAGGGGGGTTGTTGATTATCTGATTAGTAAAGCGGGGGAAGGGTTGAGTTGGACTGGGTTGTCGACGGGTTTGTTTTTTGATCCGGTGCATGTATGTGACACTCACTCTCTCTCGTTTCGTTCTGAACATGGGAATGGGAATGGGATGGAGACATGATGCTAACACCACCTTTCTTTGTTGCAGGTTCTGTCGAATGGACTTGGTGGAATTGACGTCAAGAACGGCAAAGCAACAATCATCGACTCCGGCAACGAACCCTGGCCCGCCTCCTTAAGGTCTCACGTCGGCCGCGCCGTCTCCGAGATCCTGCGCCATCCAGACCTCACCAAGAACCAGTACCTCTCCACGGCCTCGTTCAACGTCTCGCAGAACCAACTGGTCAAAATCGTCGAGGAGCTGACGGGCAAGAAGCTGGAGGTTACCCATGTCAGCTCCAAGGATATTTTCAAGCAGGGTGAGGAGAAGCTGGCCAGGGGCGATTATAGCGCATTTGTGGAGTTTTTGAAGGTCCATTTTCTGGCGGACGGGGCAGGTAATGCTCTGAGAGAGGAGGAGAGTGCGAATGAGAAGTTGAGATTGGTGACGGAGGACGTTGGGGCGGTTGTGAAGGGGTTTTTGGAGGGGGAGGGGTTGTTGGCTGCTTGAGGGGTGACACTGACTGTGTGTTTTAGTTGGTTTCTATGGATGGATCATAGTGTAGGAGCTGATAGTCTCCGGAATAAATAATGAACTGATGTTGTTTTCTGTGGATAAGTTGCATTCTAAATAGCGAGTGTCTTGATGATGTCTGGTGATGGATGGTGCGGATCAGCGGATTTCGTTCACCAATTGTTGTGGCGTTTGGTTTGGGTGATATGAGCAAATGGTTGCGAGCCGAATTCAATAACCAATAGGGATTGTAGTATAGTGGTCAGTACTTCTCGTTGTGGTCAATTCGACATACAACGAATCCGAGAGGACCCCGGTTCGATTCCGGGCAATCCCATGTTTTTGCTGTTTTTTGTCTTACCTCCTTGCTTTGACACGGCCGACAGTTGTGATAACTTTCCAGAACGTCGTCGCTCCTGATATTTTGCATCGAGTGTAGTTGAATTCTGAAGGTATTGGAGCAGTGAAATGTGTGTGTTAAGCGGATGAAGATATTTGCACGACAAGATGTACCAGGAGGGTAAATCCAGATTACATGATGGTACCGTAAAGACTCGGGAAACTCGTTTTCCAGGCTGTGCAGAAAACGCAGGGTTAAAAATCCATCAGATGCTTTTGGCGGCCGTCAGAGAGCATGTAGAATACTTGGTTGCCGGGCACCTTTAACCCTGCAACCTGGAAACCGACTTTCCCAGGATTATACAGTATGTCTGAGGAAAAGAGGACAAGGCGATGAGCTTCTCCAGCGGTCTATTGAATATGAAATATGGTTTCTGTTTTCGATCCAAACCAACCACCACAAGCTGGAAAGAAACAGCAAAAGACCTTACCCGGCCCTGGCCGCTCCGTCAAGATTGCCCCGAGTCTAAAGGAGCGGTAATCTGCAGTTCTACTGTGGCTGACAACATAGGAAACAGCCCCTGTCTCCCTCCTCCTATTCTAGCCATCATCTTTATTCTTTGGTGGGTTGTGCCGCATGTACCGGCAGAAATGGCTTAGAACCAATTTTGATTTCCGCCCGTATTAGTACCGTAGGGAAAGAAGCCAGCACCAGTATACTGCACATCTGGTCCTGTTGTCATGTAACCATTGCTCGTGTAGCTGGGTGCAGATCCAGTCGGATTGGAGACAGGTATGTCGAGGTCGTCGAGCGAAAGCATAGCGTCCAGATCAGATGCGACCGAGAAGAGTGCATATTCTGGAGCAGAGGTATTGGGAAGAAACGAAGGTGCCGACTGTTCGTGGATATATGGTGGAGGAGCCATAGGCGTTTCGGACCAGGTTGTTGATGGCATGCTGGTCGAATGCCCGGCCTGTGTAGCCGGTGTAGCCGGGAACTCGTGCATCGAGATGGATGGGCTGATGTTCGGTGGAAGCAGACGTCCTTGTAATGTCCATGTGTCGTAGGCCTGTTGCAGGGTATCTTCGATGATCTTATTGACGTCGTCAACCCGTAGCAGCACTTGATCTTGTATGTGTTGCCCGGCGTATTCGTAGGCCGCTTGCGTGAAAAGCCGGGGCATTTCCGTCAACAGGTAGTGTTGGAATTCGAGAATGTTTCGAGACTCGGCTCCCATAGGCTGGAAATCCTCTGCGTATTCGGGATCTGTTGACATATCGGTCAGTTGTCTGTCTGGACGCTGTGGACCGGAGGTCCTAGGAAGACTCACAAGGTGACGGCACAATATCGTTGGGGAACAGCAGTCGATAAATCTCTCTCCATTTCTCCTCGTCGCTCTGGCGCCGATGTGTATGCTTCCTGGACTTGAGCTGCCGTTCTTGTGATGTGGTAATGTCTCCAGGCGGTTTGACATCGAGGAGTTCGCAAGCTTCCGGGGCCATCTCGTGAATCGTGAGCTGCCTCGCATCGCTGAAAGTTTGCTTGCACCGTTGACAATGGATCTTGTAGTGTCTCCGATAGAGATGCTCCCTACAAAGAGTGTTAGCGACGTACCATGCATTGGGCTAGGGCTAGGGATCGTGGTTGGTATACTTACTTGAGCCTTGGAATGGTCGGCCAGTCCTTGTTGGCGCAAATATCATAGTCCACACGGTTGTACTTTTCTGGATTGTGCTTGCGGAACGGGCAAGCAAATCTCTTCGATGTTGCGGACCCAGGCCTGGAAGCATAAGGCGAGGGCTGACTGCCGTCATCATCGTCGTCATCGTCATCGTCGTCGGGGGTTCGCCGAGAACTTGGAGGTCGGAGGCTTCCACCATGCCTTCGCCGAGACGGGGTTGCCTTCCCTGCTCGATATGGGTCCATCCTGTCGGTGTTGCTGCTCCCTACACTCCCAACACATGATCTGATCAATGCATCCCAGTTTTGGTTATACTGGAACCAAGTTCGTTGTAGCACCATGTTGATGGCCTGCTGATAGGCTTTGCTCCAGACTCTGCTGTTGTCATTGCTGATGTCGTGTTCTGCCCAGAGGTCTGGGTCAGATAAACTGTCATCTGAGACACGTTCACTAGTGCTATCGTCAAGGGCCAAGAATCTGTTCCTAGGGTTACCAGATCGCATGCTCGAGACGGACGGTGACCCAATGGAAGAGCGGCTCCCTGGCTTCGGAACAAGCAGCCAGTCCTTGCGAACGACGTTGTTCATGGGAGCAAGTTCAAGCAAAGCATCTGAAAGGGAGGGTTGCTGACTGGCCTCTACGCCATGTTCCGCAGATACTGCGGTTGGGGCTTTGGTGTAATCTGAGGCCAAAGCAGTCCGTGGACGTTGGATATCTTCCCCTCGGGCCAAGTCCGCAGCTCCAGGTTTGAGAACATCAAGATGTCTATCGCTATCTATCCGACGTAGCCCTTTTCCCATTGGTGATGGAGTCGACTTCAAGCGTGAAAATACATTGGTCTTGGTCACAGGAAAAGGAGCGCTCTCCGTGGTGTGTGGCGGGCTTGTGCGATACGGTGCGATGTCCGTCTCTCGAATCTGGCTTGCCTTGGATTGGGCGCGAACGTAGGGATCCCAAGCGGGAAATAGTCCGGATTCTACGACGGTGGTTTGTGAAGGAAACGCTGCAGTGGAAACTGCCCTAGTGGAGGACACAAGGATTGGCGAAGAATCGGCAGGTACATGATTGTCCGGATTTTTTTCACTGATTTGGGGCGATGATTGCTCGAGGTTTAGGCGGCCCATCCCATCGATTGGAGATGAAGGGATGTCGCCTGGACTCTCCGGCAACGGGCGCAAGCCATGGGAGTAGTACGCCTTGACGAGACTGCTGACGTTTTGTTCGGTCCTTATTTGAGCCTTGTACAAGGCATATTGCGCGATGCTCTGGGGGTCCGAAGAGCTGTTTGCGAAGAACTCGAGTATATCTTGCAGCCGAGAGGGATTGCGGGCGTCGTCAACCTCCGTGGCCGCGTGTCGTCCGGTCGTGTGTTCATCCCACGTAAAATGCAACTTGGTATCTCGTTCCCGCTCTTGATTCGAAACCAGACGATTCCATGCTTCCACTATCTTTGGCTGTTTTAGGAGGCCACGAATCACAGAGGAGTGCTGCCAATGGGCTCTTTGCATGCCTTCTTCGCAGTGCCTGCCGACGTGATCTAGGTAGTCAGGACGTGACTGCACAAAGGCACCGCAGAATCCACATCCCCAAGCCCCTCTTGTTGGTAGCTTGACTCTGTGTTCAGTCGTTAGGGGAGAAGAAAGATTGTGAACATGTCGACAATGGGATGCAAGAGATGGCCGCTCGGGGAAAGAATCGTGGCAAATGGAGCACAGATGCTCCTCGGGTCTGTCGTGGTCCTTGAGTTCGTGATTCCTCCACTGTGCGGGACACGCAAACATGGCGTCGCAAAATGTGCAGTAATAGCGAGGTGGGTAGTCGTCGGTGTTGAAGCTGTCATCGCATTTCTCAGAACTACAAGGTGTCGCAGACAAATTGGGGTCCGCCGAGTCGAGTGAGTGTTGTCGAACTGAGTACCGCGAGTATACTGTCGAGGCAGTGGAAATTCTCAGGCCAGCAGTCGAAAAGATGCTGGGAGCAGCTGAGCTCCGTCTGGATGTTGAGGCGAGTGAGGCGCGGGAGTTTTTGCTGGTGAGATCATGGTAGGCAGTTGGAAAGTAATCGTTTTCTTCCCAGATGTCATCGGTATGTGTCTCGGGATAGGGATTCTTATTAGATGTAATAGTCGGCACCTGATACGAGGCAGCATCACTTTCTCCGACGGCGTAGCTGGTGAGTTCTTCTCTCACAGGGTCCATCCTTGGCTGATGGTGATTTGGAGCCATGAAGAAGGCTTGGACAGTATTGATCTTGTGTGTGACTCCTATCAGACAACAAAGGTATAAGCTAAAGTTACCAGTCAGGAGCAAGTCTGGGCAGGATGCCGTGGAAAGAAGGCAGGAAACGGGCTACTTCCAGATTGGCCTTGTTCAAGAAATGGTGTCGTTCTTATTTATCGAAGCTCTAGGGGTGTGAGATCATGTCTTGTGTCCAGACCTATGCTCATTCGACTAAGTGATGATGTGGATTCACGAATTGACTGCGCACAGGGCTGTGCAAGACTTTGTGGGGATGGTGAAGCCAAGAAGCTCTCAAGCGTCAAACGTGATCCGGGTAGAAGTAACCAAGCTATTGGGAGACGGAACGGTTCCTGGAGGAGGCGGTGCTCTCATTTTCTATGCCGGCCTCTAGGGTGACGCGGAGAGACGGCAGTATCATGTCAGAAGAAGGCGAAGTCGCGGTCCTTGATGATGGTTTCGTGGGGTGTGCCGGCGCGGAGCTTGGAGGCCGGCCATTGTTCCGAGGTAAGGTAGCTACATAGCAGACTAGTCTCGCAGGGTAGGATGGGATTATGTCGTACGGAGATGCCGCTGTATAGCGACGTAACCCCGAGGGCATAAGGCTGAATCCCAGGGGGACGGATGGACAGATACTGCAGAGGACCTTTTTGATAGTCTCATGGCTTGGAAGGTCGGTGTAGAGGGAAGCTCATCGCAGCTGCGCACTGGTTCAGGCTATGACTGGGGCACCAAATCACTATGCCAAACACCACTATCGATTTGGCATTACTTGAACTGTCGGAAGAGGCTGATTCGCTTGGGGTACTCTGTAGTATCGTGGTCGTGGTGGTGCTGTCGACGCTGCGAGCCCGAAGTGGAAAGGATACACGGCGGCACCACATGCATGCGACGGGCCAGAGTGGTGTGCCATCGACCCGGACGCTTCTGATGCGCTGAAGAGCGGGAGAATTGGGTCGATTTGGGGGTGTCGCGCATCCTGTAGGGCTCTTTTTCCGCCACTGTATCATCAATCCAAGTTCCGGAGTTGATGTCGCTGATTGGATGTCCGGCTGGACGGGACCGTTTGGCGACCAATC